CCATGTATGTGTTGTCTACTAGTGGAGAGGGTGCTCAGTACCAGCGTGTTCCGCCCGACCCGGGCATTAGGACCAGTGAGGCTGCCGCTCTAGGTGCTAGTGCGTCTGTTGCCCTAGGTGCTGGTGAGGCTGCCGCTCCAGGTACTAGCGTGTCTGCTGCCCCAGGTGCTGGTGAGGCTGCTGCACTAGGTGCTAGTGAGTCTCCCCCACCTGGTACTGAGTCTACTGAGGCACTGCACACCTTCACACTGGACTCAGGTGCTTCTCGCTGTTTCTTTCGTGACCGCACTGCCCTTGAGCAGCTTGCTCGGCCAGTGGCTGTCTCCCTCGCTGACCCCTCTGGGGGTCCGGTCATTGCGACCTCCTCCACTGTCCTTCCTTGTCCTGCGGTTCCGTCGGGCACACTGTCAGGTCTCCACCTCCCCTCGTTCTCTACGAACTTGGTGGCGGGTTGTGCGCTCCAGGACGGGGGTGTTCACCAGTTCACCCCTGCCTACGAGCGCGTGACACACTGCACGTGTGCTCGGACGGGCCGTCACCTGGCTACCTTCACTCGGCAGCCGGGGTCGGACCTGTACACACTGACCACTGAGTCTCCTCAGGTAGCTGCGTCTGCGTCTGCGTCAGGTCAGCTGTCGGCCCCCTGCTCGTGTCGCTCTCTAGCGCATGAGACCGTCCTCTGGCACCACCGCCTTGGTCACCCGTCAGTGCAGCGCCTTCGTGGCATGCACAAACGGTACCTTGTCTCTGGTCTTCCCAGGGTTCTACCTCCCCTCCCACCCTCGCCTGCTCCTCCCTGTCTTCCCTGTGTCGAGGGGCGGCAGCGCGCCGCTCCTCACTCCTCCTCGTTTCCCCCGACGACTGCTCCCTTGCAGACACTCCACATGGACGTGTGGGGCCCAGCTTGCGTCCGTGGACAGGGTCAGGAGAGGTACTTCCTGATCGTTGTTGACGACTACTCGCGCTACACCACGGTCTTCCCCTTGCGCACCAAGGGTGAGGTCCCTGATGTTTTGATCCCTTGGATCCGCGCTTCTCGTCTCCAGCTCAGCGAGCGGTTCCACTCGGACTTTCCTGTCCTGCGTCTGCACTCTGACAGAGGTGGTGAGTTCTCCTCCGACCTCTTGGCAGCCTACTGTGCGGAGCACGGCATCCGCCAGTCGTTCACGCTTCCGGCCTCTCCACAGCAGAATGGGGTTGCTGAGCGCCGCATTGGCTTGGTCATGGAGGTCGCTCGTACCTCCTTGATCCATGCGGCTGCCCCCCACTTTCTGTGGCCGTTTGCGGTCCGATACGCTGCGCATCAGCTCAACCTCTGGCCCCGTGTCTCCGTTCCGGAGACTTCGCCGACACTGCGTTGGACGGGAGAGGTTGGCGATGCGTCGCGTTTTCGGGTCTGGGGATCTCGAGCTTTTGTTCGCGATACGTCCGCGGACAAGCTCTCCTCCCGCGCTGTTCCTTGTGTCTTCCTTGGCTTTGTCCCGGACGCGTCTGGTTGGCAGTTTTACCACGCCACCTCGCGCCGTGTCCTGCCCTCTCAGGACGTCACTTTTGACGAGTCGGTGCCCTACTACCGCCTCTTCCCCTACCGCACTGCCCCGCTCCCCCCCCCCGCCTCTCTTCCTCGCGCCAGGTGCTGCTGTGGTAGACCCCCTCCCCCCTCAGGGTGCCGCTCCCTCAGGTGTGTCCCAGGTAGACCCGGTTGAGCCTGTTGAGGTAGCTGTCGACTCTCGTCCTGCTAGGGGTGCTGAGCCTGAGCGTGCGGAGCCTGGGGTTGATGAGCCTGGGGGTGCGGAGCCTGGGGTTGCGTAGTCTGGGGGTGCTGAGCCTGGGGGTGCGGAGCCTGCGGGTGCTGAGTCTGGGGGTGCTGAGTCTGGGGGTGCTGAGCCAGAGGGTGCTGCGACTGAGCGTGCTACACCTGGAGGAGCTCTCTCCTCACAGCAGCTACGTGAGTGGTACTTACAGTACTGCAGCCTCAGGAGGGGTGCTTCTGGAGCTAGGAGTGCTGCTGGAGCTGGTGCTTGTGCTTCCCCTCCTAGGCGGGAGCTGCCATCTCCCCAGCGGCTCCGAGAGTGGTACGCTCGGCGCTGCAGTCTCCGGAGTGGCGCTCCTAGTGTCGCGGACTCTGGTGCTTGAGCTGCTGGCGGTGCTGCTGGCGCTGCTGGAGGTGCTGCTGGTGCTGGTGCTGCTGGAGCTGCTGGAGGTGCTGCTGCTGCTGGCGGTGCTGCTGGCGCTGCTGGTGCTGGTGCTGCTGGAGCTGCCGATTAGGCTTCCAGTCCACCCCGGACTCGGGCTGCCGATTAGGCTTCCAGTCCACCCCGGACTCGGGCTGCCGATTAGGCTTCCAGTCCACCCCGGACTCGGGCTGCCGATTAGGCTTCCAGTCCACCCCGGACTCGGGCTGCCGATTAGGCTTCCAGTCCACCCCGGACTCGGGCTGCCGATTAGGCTTCCAGTCCACCCCGGACTCGGGCTGCCGATTAGGCTTCCAGTCCACCCCGGACTCGGGCTGCCGATTAGGCTTCCAGTCCACCCCGGACTCGGGCTGCCGATTAGGCTTCCAGTCCACCCCGGACTCGGGCTGCCGATTAGGCTTCCAGTCCACCCCGGACTCGGGCTGCCGATTAGGCTTCCAGTCCACCCCGGACTCGGGCTGCCGATTAGGCTTCCAGTCCACCCCGGACTCGGGCTGCCGATTAGGCTTCCAGTCCACCCCGGACTCGGGCTGCCGATTAGGCTTCCAGTCCACCCCGGACTCGGGCTGCCGATTAGGCTTCCAGTCCACCCCGGACTCGGGCTGCCGATTAGGCTTCCAGTCCACCCCGGACTCGGGCTGCCGATTAGGCTTCCAGTCCACCCCGGACTCGGGCTGCCGATTAGGCTTCCAGTCCACCCCGGACTCGGGCTGCCGATTAGGCTTCCAGTCCACCCCGGACTCGGGCTGCCGATTAGGCTTCCAGTCCACCCCGGACTCGGGCTGCCGATTAGGCTTCCAGTCCACCCCGGACTCGGGCTGCCGATTAGGCTTCCAGTCCACCCCGGACTCGGGCTGCCGATTAGGCTTCCAGTCCACCCCGGACTCGGGCTGCCGATTAGGCTTCCAGTCCACCCCGGACTCGGGCTGCCGATTAGGCTTCCAGTCCACCCCGGACTCGGGCTGCCGATTAGGCTTCCAGTCCACCCCGGACTCGGGCTGCCGATTAGGCTTCCAGTCCACCCCGGACTCGGGCTGCCGATTAGGCTTCCAGTCCACCCCGGACTCGGGCTGCCGATTAGGCTTCCAGTCCACCCCGGACTCGGGCTGCCGATTAGGCTTCCAGTCCACCCCGGACTCGGGCTGCCGATTAGGCTTCCAGTCCACCCCGGACTCGGGCTGCCGATTAGGCTTCCAGTCCACCCCGGACTCGGGCTGCCGATTAGGCTTCCAGTCCACCCCGGACTCGGGCTGCCGATTAGGCTTCCAGTCCACCCCGGACTCGGGCTGCCGATTAGGCTTCCAGTCCACCCCGGACTCGGGCTGCCGATTAGGCTTCCAGTCCACCCCGGACTCGGGCTGCCGATTAGGCTTCCAGTCCACCCCGGACTCGGGCTGCCGATTAGGCTTCCAGTCCACCCCGGACTCGGGCTGCCGATTAGGCTTCCAGTCCACCCCGGACTCGGGCTGCCGATTAGGCTTCCAGTCCACCCCGGACTCGGGCTGCCGATTAGGCTTCCAGTCCACCCCGGACTCGGGCTGCCGATTAGGCTTCCAGTCCACCCCGGACTCGGGCTGCCGATTAGGCTTCCAGTCCACCCCGGACTCGGGCTGCCGATTAGGCTTCCAGTCCACCCCGGACTCGGGCTGCCGATTAGGCTTCCAGTCCACCCCGGACTCGGGCTGCCGATTAGGCTTCCAGTCCACCCCGGACTCGGGCTGCCGATTAGGCTTCCAGTCCACCCCGGACTCGGGCTGCCGATTAGGCTTCCAGTCCACCCCGGACTCGGGCTGCCGATTAGGCTTCCAGTCCACCCCGGACTCGGGCTGCCGATTAGGCTTCCAGTCCACCCCGGACTCGGGCTGCCGATTAGGCTTCCAGTCCACCCCGGACTCGGGCTGCCGATTAGGCTTCCAGTCCACCCCGGACTCGGGCTGCCGATTAGGCTTCCAGTCCACCCCGGACTCGGGCTGCCGATTAGGCTTCCAGTCCACCCCGGACTCGGGCTGCCGATTAGGCTTCCAGTCCACCCCGGACTCGGGCTGCCGATTAGGCTTCCAGTCCACCCCGGACTCGGGCTGCCGATTAGGCTTCCAGTCCACCCCGGACTCGGGCTGCCGATTAGGCTTCCAGTCCACCCCGGACTCGGGCTGCCGATTAGGCTTCCAGTCCACCCCGGACTCGGGCTGCCGATTAGGCTTCCAGTCCACCCCGGACTCGGGCTGCCGATTAGGCTTCCAGTCCACCCCGGACTCGGGCTGCCGATTAGGCTTCCAGTCCACCCCGGACTCGGGCTGCCGATTAGGCTTCCAGTCCACCCCGGACTCGGGCTGCCGATTAGGCTTCCAGTCCACCCCGGACTCGGGCTGCCGATTAGGCTTCCAGTCCACCCCGGACTCGGGCTGCCGATTAGGCTTCCAGTCCACCCCGGACTCGGGCTGCCGATTAGGCTTCCAGTCCACCCCGGACTCGGGCTGCCGATTAGGCTTCCAGTCCACCCCGGACTCGGGCTGCCGATTAGGCTTCCAGTCCACCCCGGACTCGGGCTGCCGATTAGGCTTCCAGTCCACCCCGGACTCGGGCTGCCGATTAGGCTTCCAGTCCACCCCGGACTCGGGCTGCCGATTAGGCTTCCAGTCCACCCCGGACTCGGGCTGCCGATTAGGCTTCCAGTCCACCCCGGACTCGGGCTGCCGATTAGGCTTCCAGTCCACCCCGGACTCGGGCTGCCGATTAGGCTTCCAGTCCACCCCGGACTCGGGCTGCCGATTAGGCTTCCAGTCCACCCCGGACTCGGGCTGCCGATTAGGCTTCCAGTCCACCCCGGACTCGGGGCTGCCGATTAGGCTTCCAGTCCACCCCGGACTCGGGCTGCCGATTAGGCTTCCAGTCCACCCCGGACTCGGGCTGCCGATTAGGCTTCCAGTCCACCCCGGACTCGGGCTGCCGATTAGGCTTCCAGTCCACCCCGGACTCGGGCTGCCGATTAGGCTTCCAGTCCACCCCGGACTCGGGCTGCCGATTAGGCTTCCAGTCCACCCCGGACTCGGGCTGCCGATTAGGCTTCCAGTCCACCCCGGACTCGGGCTGCCGATTAGGCTTCCAGTCCACCCCTGACTCGGGCTGCCGATTAGGCTTCCAGTCCACCCCTGACTCGGGCTGCCGATTAGGCTTCCAGTCCACCCCTGACTCGGGCTGCCGATTAGGCTTCCAGTCCACCCCTGACTCGGGCTGCCGATTAGGCTTCCAGTCCACCCCGGACTCGGGCTGCCGATTAGGCTTCCAGTCCACCCCTGACTCGGGCTGCCGATTAGGCTTCCAGTCCACCCCTGACTCGGGCTGCCGATTAGGCTTCCAGTCCACCCCTGACTCGGGCTGCCGATTAGGCTTCCAGTCCACCCCTGACTCGGGCTGCCGATTAGGCTTCCAGTCCACCCCGGACTCGGGCTGCCGATTAGGCTTCCAGTCCACCCCGGACTCGGGCTGCCGATTAGGCTTCCAGTCCACCCCGGACTCGGGCTGCCGATTAGGCTTCCAGTCCACCCCTGACTCGGGCTGCCGATTAGGCTTCCAGTCCACCCCGGACTCGGGCTGCCGATTAGGCTTCCAGTCCACCCCGGACTCGGGCTGCCGATTAGGCTTCCAGTCCACCCCGGACTCGGGCTGCCGATTAGGCTTCCAGTCCACCCCGGACTCGGGCTGCCGATTAGGCTTCCAGTCCACCCCTGACTCGGGCTGCCGATTAGGCTTCCAGTCCACCCCTGACTCGGGCTGCCGATTAGGCTTCCAGTCCACCCCTGACTCGGGCTGCCGATTAGGCTTCCAGTCCACCCCTGACTCGGGCTGCCGATTAGGCTTCCAGTCCACCCCTGACTCGGGCTGCCGATTAGGCTTCCAGTCCACCCCTGACTCGGGCTGCCGATTAGGCTTCCAGTCCACCCCTGACTCGGGCTGCCGATTAGGCTTCCAGTCCACCCCTGACTCGGGCTGCCGATTAGGCTTCCAGTCCACCCCTGACTCGGGCTGCCGATTAGGCTTCCAGTCCACCCCTGACTCGGGCTGCCGATTAGGCTTCCAGTCCACCCCTGACTCGGGCTGCCGATTAGGCTTCCAGTCCACCCCTGACTCGGGCTGCCGATTAGGCTTCCAGTCCACCCCGGACTCGGGCTGCCGATTAGGCTTCCAGTCCACCCCTGACTCGGGCTGCCGATTAGGCTTCCAGTCCACCCCTGACTCGGGCTGCCGATTAGGCTTCCAGTCCACCCCTGACTCGGGCTGCCGATTAGGCTTCCAGTCCACCCCGGACTCGGGCTGCCGATTAGGCTTCCAGTCCACCCCGGACTCGGGCTGCCGATTAGGCTTCCAGTCCACCCCTGACTCGGGCTGCCGATTAGGCTTCCAGTCCACCCCTGACTCGGGCTGCCGATTAGGCTTCCAGTCCACCCCGGACTCGGGCTGCCGATTAGGCTTCCAGTCCACCCCGGACTCGGGCTGCCGATTAGGCTTCCAGTCCACCCCTGACTCGGGCTGCCGATTAGGCTTCCAGTCCACCCCGGACTCGGGCTGCCGATTAGGCTTCCAGTCCACCCCTGACTCGGGCTGCCGATTAGGCTTCCAGTCCACCCCTGACTCGGGCTGCCGATTAGGCTTCCAGTCCACCCCGGACTCGGGCTGCCGATTAGGCTTCCAGTCCACCCCTGACTCGGGCTGCCGATTAGGCTTCCAGTCCACCCCTGACTCGGGCTGCCGATTAGGCTTCCAGTCCACCCCTGACTCGGGCTGCCGATTAGGCTTCCAGTCCACCCCTGACTCGGGCTGCCGATTAGGCTTCCAGTCCACCCCGGACTCGGGCTGCCGATTAGGCTTCCAGTCCACCCCTGACTCGGGCTGCCGATTAGGCTTCCAGTCCACCCCTGACTCGGCTGCCGATTAGGCTTCCAGTCCACCCCTGACTCGGGCTGCCGATTAGGCTTCCAGTCCACCCCGGACTCGGGCTGCCGATTAGGCTTCCAGTCCACCCCGGACTCGGGCTGCCGATTAGGCTTCCAGTCCACCCCTGACTCGGGCTGCCGATTAGGCTTCCAGTCCACCCCTGACTCGGGCTGCCGATTAGGCTTCCAGTCCACCCCTGACTCGGGCTGCCGATTAGGCTTCCAGTCCACCCCGGACTCGGGCTGCCGATTAGGCTTCCAGTCCACCCCGGACTCGGGCTGCCGATTAGGCTTCCAGTCCACCCCTGACTCGGGCTGCCGATTAGGCTTCCAGTCCACCCCTGACTCGGGCTGCCGATTAGGCTTCCAGTCCACCCCTGACTCGGGCTGCCGATTAGGCTTCCAGTCCACCCCGGACTCGGGCTGCCGATTAGGCTTCCAGTCCACCCCGGACTCGGGCTGCCGATTAGGCTTCCAGTCCACCCCTGACTCGGGCTGCCGATTAGGCTTCCAGTCCACCCCTGACTCGGGCTGCCGATTAGGCTTCCAGTCCACCCCTGACTCGGGCTGCCGATTAGGCTTCCAGTCCACCCCGGACTCGGGCTGCCGATTAGGCTTCCAGTCCACCCCGGACTCGGGCTGCCGATTAGGCTTCCAGTCCACCCCGGACTCGGGCTGCCGATTAGGCTTCCAGTCCACCCCGGACTCGGGCTGCCGATTAGGCTTCCAGTCCACCCCGGACTCGGGCTGCCGATTAGGCTTCCAGTCCACCCCGGACTCGGGCTGCCGATTAGGCTTCCAGTCCACCCCGGACTCGGGCTGCCGATTAGGCTTCCAGTCCACCCCGGACTCGGGCTGCCGATTAGGCTTCCAGTCCACCCCGGACTCGGGCTGCCGATTAGGCTTCCAGTCCACCCCGGACTCGGGCTGCCGATTAGGCTTCCAGTCCACCCCTGACTCGGGCTGCCGATTAGGCTTCCAGTCCACCCCGGACTCGGGCTGCCGATTAGGCTTCCAGTCCACCCCGGACTCGGGCTGCCGATTAGGCTTCCAGTCCACCCCGGACTCGGGCTGCCGATTAGGCTTCCAGTCCACCCCTGACTCGGGCTGCCGATTAGGCTTCCAGTCCACCCCTGACTCGGGCTGCCGATTAGGCTTCCAGTCCACCCCTGACTCGGGCTGCCGATTAGGCTTCCAGTCCACCCCTGACTCGGGCTGCCGATTAGGCTTCCAGTCCACCCCTGACTCGGGCTGCCGATTAGGCTTCCAGTCCACCCCTGACTCGGGCTGCCGATTAGGCTTCCAGTCCACCCCTGACTCGGGCTGCCGATTAGGCTTCCAGTCCACCCCTGACTCGGGCTGCCGATTAGGCTTCCAGTCCACCCCGGACTCGGGCTGCCGATTAGGCTTCCAGTCCACCCCGGACTCGGGCTGCCGATTAGGCTTCCAGTCCACCCCTGACTCGGGCTGCCGATTAGGCTTCCAGTCCACCCCGGACTCGGGCTGCCGATTAGGCTTCCAGTCCACCCCGGACTCGGGCTGCCGATTAGGCTTCCAGTCCACCCCTGACTCGGGCTGCCGATTAGGCTTCCAGTCCACCCCTGACTCGGGCTGCCGATTAGGCTTCCAGTCCACCCCTGACTCGGGCTGCCGATTAGGCTTCCAGTCCACCCCTGACTCGGGCTGCCGATTAGGCTTCCAGTCCACCCCTGACTCGGGCTGCCGATTAGGCTTCCAGTCCACCCCGGACTCGGGCTGCCGATTAGGCTTCCAGTCCACCCCGGACTCGGGCTGCCGATTAGGCTTCCAGTCCACCCCGGACTCGGGCTGCCGATTAGGCTTCCAGTCCACCCCGGACTCGGGCTGCCGATTAGGCTTCCAGTCCACCCCGGACTCGGGCTGCCGATTAGGCTTCCAGTCCACCCCTGACTCGGGCTGCCGATTAGGCTTCCAGTCCACCCCGGACTCGGGCTGCCGATTAGGCTTCCAGTCCACCCCGGACTCGGGCTGCCGATTAGGCTTCCAGTCCACCCCTGACTCGGGCTGCCGATTAGGCTTCCAGTCCACCCCTGACTCGGGCTGCCGATTAGGCTTCCAGTCCACCCCTGACTCGGGCTGCCGATTAGGCTTCCAGTCCACCCCTGACTCGGGCTGCCGATTAGGCTTCCAGTCCACCCCTGACTCGGGCTGCCGATTAGGCTTCCAGTCCACCCCTGACTCGGGCTGCCGATTAGGCTTCCAGTCCACCCCTGACTCGGGCTGCCGATTAGGCTTCCAGTCCACCCCTGACTCGGGCTGCCGATTAGGCTTCCAGTCCACCCCTGACTCGGGCTGCCGATTAGGCTTCCAGTCCACCCCTGACTCGGGCTGCCGATTAGGCTTCCAGTCCACCCCTGACTCGGGCTGCCGATTAGGCTTCCAGTCCACCCCTGACTCGGGCTGCCGATTAGGCTTCCAGTCCACCCCTGACTCGGGCTGCCGATTAGGCTTCCAGTCCACCCCTGACTCGGGCTGCCGATTAGGCTTCCAGTCCACCCCTGACTCGGGCTGCCGATTAGGCTTCCAGTCCACCCCTGACTCGGGCTGCCGATTAGGCTTCCAGTCCACCCCTGACTCGGGCTGCCGATTAGGCTTCCAGTCCACCCCTGACTCGGGCTGCCGATTAGGCTTCCAGTCCACCCCTGACTCGGGCTGCCGATTAGGCTTCCAGTCCACCCCTGACTCGGGCTGCCGATTAGGCTTCCAGTCCACCCCTGACTCGGGCTGCCGATTAGGCTTCCAGTCCACCCCTGACTCGGGCTGCCGATTAGGCTTCCAGTCCACCCCTGACTCGGGCTGCCGATTAGGCTTCCAGTCCACCCCGGACTCGGGCTGCCGATTAGGCTTCCAGTCCACCCCGGACTCGGGCTGCCGATTAGGCTTCCAGTCCACCCCGGACTCGGGCTGCCGATTAGGCTTCCAGTCCACCCCTGACTCGGGCTGCCGATTAGGCTTCCAGTCCACCCCGGACTCGGGCTGCCGATTAGGCTTCCAGTCCACCCCGGACTCGGGCTGCCGATTAGGCTTCCAGTCCACCCCGGACTCGGGCTGCCGATTAGGCTTCCAGTCCACCCCGGACTCGGGCTGCCGATTAGGCTTCCAGTCCACCCCTGACTCGGGCTGCCGATTAGGCTTCCAGTCCACCCCTGACTCGGGCTGCCGATTAGGCTTCCAGTCCACCCCTGACTCGGGCTGCCGATTAGGCTTCCAGTCCACCCCTGACTCGGGCTGCCGATTAGGCTTCCAGTCCACCCCTGACTCGGGCTGCCGATTAGGCTTCCAGTCCACCCCGGACTCGGGCTGCCGATTAGGCTTCCAGTCCACCCCGGACTCGGGCTGCCGATTAGGCTTCCAGTCCACCCCTGACTCGGGCTGCCGATTAGGCTTCCAGTCCACCCCTGACTCGGGCTGCCGATTAGGCTTCCAGTCCACCCCTGACTCGGGCTGCCGATTAGGCTTCCAGTCCACCCCTGACTCGGGCTGCCGATTAGGCTTCCAGTCCACCCCTGACTCGGGCTGCCGATTAGGCTTCCAGTCCACCCCTGACTCGGGCTGCCGATTAGGCTTCCAGTCCACCCCGGACTCGGGCTGCCGATTAGGCTTCCAGTCCACCCCTGACTCGGGCTGCCGATTAGGCTTCCAGTCCACCCCGGACTCGGGCTGCCGATTAGGCTTCCAGTCCACCCCTGACTCGGGCTGCCGATTAGGCTTCCAGTCCACCCCGGACTCGGGCTGCCGATTAGGCTTCCAGTCCACCCCGGACTCGGGCTGCCGATTAGGCTTCCAGTCCACCCCTGACTCGGGCTGCCGATTAGGCTTCCAGTCCACCCCGGACTCGGGCTGCCGATTAGGCTTCCAGTCCACCCCGGACTCGGGCTGCCGATTAGGCTTCCAGTCCACCCCGGACTCGGGCTGCCGATTAGGCTTCCAGTCCACCCCGGACTCGGGCTGCCGATTAGGCTTCCAGTCCACCCCGGACTCGGGCTGCCGATTAGGCTTCCAGTCCACCCCTGACTCGGGCTGCCGATTAGGCTTCCAGTCCACCCCGGACTCGGGCTGCCGATTAGGCTTCCAGTCCACCCCGGACTCGGGCTGCCGATTAGGCTTCCAGTCCACCCCTGACTCGGGCTGCCGATTAGGCTTCCAGTCCACCCCTGACTCGGGCTGCCGATTAGGCTTCCAGTCCACCCCTGACTCGGGCTGCCGATTAGGCTTCCAGTCCACCCCGGACTCGGGCTGCCGATTAGGCTTCCAGTCCACCCCGGACTCGGGCTGCCGATTAGGCTTCCAGTCCACCCCTGACTCGGGCTGCCGATTAGGCTTCCAGTCCACCCCTGACTCGGGCTGCCGATTAGGCTTCCAGTCCACCCCGGACTCGGGCTGCCGATTAGGCTTCCAGTCCACCCCGGACTCGGGCTGCCGATTAGGCTTCCAGTCCACCCCGGACTCGGGCTGCCGATTAGGCTTCCAGTCCACCCCGGACTCGGGCTGCCGATTAGGCTTCCAGTCCACCCCGGACTCGGGCTGCCGATTAGGCTTCCAGTCCACCCCGGACTCGGGCTGCCGATTAGGCTTCCAGTCCACCCCGGACTCGGGCTGCCGATTAGGCTTCCAGTCCACCCCTGACTCGGGCTGCCGATTAGGCTTCCAGTCCACCCCGGACTCGGGCTGCCGATTAGGCTTCCAGTCCACCCCGGACTCGGGCTGCCGATTAGGCTTCCAGTCCACCCCGGACTCGGGCTGCCGATTAGGCTTCCAGTCCACCCCTGACTCGGGCTGCCGATTAGGCTTCCAGTCCACCCCGGACTCGGGCTGCCGATTAGGCTTCCAGTCCACCCCTGACTCGGGCTGCCGATTAGGCTTCCAGTCCACCCCGGACTCGGGCTGCCGATTAGGCTTCCAGTCCACCCCTGACTCGGGCTGCCGATTAGGCTTCCAGTCCACCCCTGACTCGGGCTGCCGATTAGGCTTCCAGTCCACCCCTGACTCGGGCTGCCGATTAGGCTTCCAGTCCACCCCTGACTCGGGCTGCCGATTAGGCTTCCAGTCCACCCCGGACTCGGGCTGCCGATTAGGCTTCCAGTCCACCCCGGACTCGGGCTGCCGATTAGGCTTCCAGTCCACCCCGGACTCGGGCTGCCGATTAGGCTTCCAGTCCACCCCGGACTCGGGCTGCCGATTAGGCTTCCAGTCCACCCCGGACTCGGGCTGCCGATTAGGCTTCCAGTCCACCCCGGACTCGGGCTGCCGATTAGGCTTCCAGTCCACCCCGGACTCGGGCTGCCGATTAGGCTTCCAGTCCACCCCTGACTCGGGCTGCCGATTAGGCTTCCAGTCCACCCCGGACTCGGGCTGCCGATTAGGCTTCCAGTCCACCCCGGACTCGGGCTGCCGATTAGGCTTCCAGTCCACCCCGGACTCGGGCTGCCGATTAGGCTTCCAGTCCACCCGGACTCGGGCTGCCGATTAGGCTTCCAGTCCACCCCTGACTCGGGCTGCCGATTAGGCTTCCAGTCCACCCCGGACTCGGGCTGCCGATTAGGCTTCCAGTCCACCCCGGACTCGGGCTGCCGATTAGGCTTCCAGTCCACCCCGGACTCGGGCTGCCGATTAGGCTTCCAGTCCACCCCGGACTCGGGCTGCCGATTAGGCTTCCAGTCCACCCCGGACTCGGGCTGCCGATTAGGCTTCCAGTCCACCCCTGACTCGGGCTGCCGATTAGGCTTCCAGTCCACCCCGGACTCGGGCTGCCGATTAGGCTTCCAGTCCACCCCTGACTCGGGCTGCCGATTAGGCTTCCAGTCCACCCCGGACTCGGGCTGCCGATTAGGCTTCCAGTCCACCCCGGACTCGGGCTGCCGATTAGGCTTCCAGTCCACCCCGGACTCGGGCTGCCGATTAGGCTTCCAGTCCACCCCGGACTCGGGCTGCCGATTAGGCTTCCAGTCCACCCCGGACTCGGGCTGCCGATTAGGCTTCCAGTCCACCCCGGACTCGGGCTGCCGATTAGGCTTCCAGTCCACCCCGGACTCGGGCTGCCGATTAGGCTTCCAGTCCACCCCGGACTCGGGCTGCCGATTAGGCTTCCAGTCCACCCCGGACTCGGGCTGCCGATTAGGCTTCCAGTCCACCCCGGACTCGGGCTGCCGATTAGGCTTCCAGTCCACCCCGGACTCGGGCTGCCGATTAGGCTTCCAGTCCACCCCGGACTCGGGCTGCCGATTAGGCTTCCAGTCCACCCCGGACTCGGGCTGCCGATTAGGCTTCCAGTCCACCCCGGACTCGGGCTGCCGATTAGGCTTCCAGTCCACCCCGGACTCGGGCTGCCGATTAGGCTTCCAGTCCACCCCGGACTCGGGCTGCCGATTAGGCTTCCAGTCCACCCCGGACTCGGGCTGCCGATTAGGCTTCCAGTCCACCCCGGACTCGGGCTGCCGATTAGGCTTCCAGTCCACCCCGGACTCGGGCTGCCGATTAGGCTTCCAGTCCACCCCGGACTCGGGCTGCCGATTAGGCTTCCAGTCCACCCCGGACTCGGGCTGCCGATTAGGCTTCCAGTCCACCCCGGACTCGGGCTGCCGATTAGGCTTCCAGTCCACCCCGGACTCGGGCTGCCGATTAGGCTTCCAGTCCACCCCGGACTCGGGCTGCCGATTAGGCTTCCAGTCCACCCCGGACTCGGGCTGCCGATTAGGCTTCCAGTCCACCCCGGACTCGGGCTGCCGATTAGGCTTCCAGTCCACCCCGGACTCGGGCTGCCGATTAGGCTTCCAGTCCACCCCGGACTCGGGCTGCCGATTAGGCTTCCAGTCCACCCCGGACTCGGGCTGCCGATTAGGCTTCCAGTCCACCCCGGACTCGGGCTGCCGATTAGGCTTCCAGTCCACCCCGGACTCGGGCTGCCGATTAGGCTTCCAGTCCACCCCGGACTCGGGCTGCCGATTAGGCTTCCAGTCCACCCCGGACTCGGGCTGCCGATTAGGCTTCCAGTCCACCCCGGACTCGGGCTGCCGATTAGGCTTCCAGTCCACCCCGGACTCGGGCTGCCGATTAGGCTTCCAGTCCACCCCGGACTCGGGCTGCCGATTAGGCTTCCAGTCCACCCCGGACTCGGGCTGCCGATTAGGCTTCCAGTCCACCCCGGACTCGGGCTGCCGATTAGGCTTCCAGTCCACCCCGGACTCGGGCTGCCGATTAGGCTTCCAGTCCACCCCGGACTCGGGCTGCCGATTAGGCTTCCAGTCCACCCCGGACTCGGGCTGCCGATTAGGCTTCCAGTCCACCCCGGACTCGGGCTGCCGATTAGGCTTCCAGTCCACCCCGGACTCGGGCTGCCGATTAGGCTTCCAGTCCACCCCGGACTCGGGCTGCCGATTAGGCTTCCAGTCCACCCCGGACTCGGGCTGCCGATTAGGCTTCCAGTCCACCCCGGACTCGGGCTGCCGATTAGGCTTCCAGTCCACCCCGGACTCGGGCTGCCGATTAGGCTTCCAGTCCACCCCGGACTCGGGCTGCCGATTAGGCTTCCAGTCCACCCCGGACTCGGGCTGCCGATTAGGCTTCCAGTCCACCCCGGACTCGGGCTGCCGATTAGGCTTCCAGTCCACCCCGGACTCGGGCTGCCGATTAGGCTTCCAGTCCACCCCGGACTCGGGCTGCCGATTAGGCTTCCAGTCCACCCCGGACTCGGGCTGCCGATTAGGCTTCCAGTCCACCCCGGACTCGGGCTGCCGATTAGGCTTCCAGTCCACCCCGGACTCGGGCTGCCGATTAGGCTTCCAGTCCACCCCGGACTCGGGCTGCCGATTAGGCTTCCAGTCCACCCCGGACTCGGGCTGCCGATTAGGCTTCCAGTCCACCCCGGACTCGGGCTGCCGATTAGGCTTCCAGTCCACCCCGGACTCGGGCTGCCGATTAGGCTTCCAGTCCACCCCGGACTCGGGCTGCCGATTAGGCTTCCAGTCCACCCCGGACTCGGGCTGCCGATTAGGCTTCCAGTCCACCCCGGACTCGGGCTGCCGATTAGGCTTCCAGTCCACCCCGGACTCGGGCTGCCGATTAGGCTTCCAGTCCACCCCGGACTCGGGCTGCCGATTAGGCTTCCAGTCCACCCCGGACTCGGGCTGCCGATTAGGCTTCCAGTCCACCCCGGACTCGGGCTGCCGATTAGGCTTCCAGTCCACCCCGGACTCGGGCTGCCGATTAGGCTTCCAGTCCACCCCGGACTCGGGCTGCCGATTAGGCTTCCAGTCCACCCCGGACTCGGGCTGCCGATTAGGCTTCCAGTCCACCCCGGACTCGGGCTGCCGATTAGGCTTCCAGTCCACCCCGGACTCGGGCTGCCGATTAGGCTTCCAGTCCACCCCGGACTCGGGCTGCCGATTAGGCTTCCAGTCCACCCCGGACTCGGGCTGCCGATTAGGCTTCCAGTCCACCCCGGACTCGGGCTGCCGATTAGGCTTCCAGTCCACCCCGGACTCGGGCTGCCGATTAGGCTTCCAGTCCACCCCGGACTCGGGCTGCCGATTAGGCTTCCAGTCCACCCCGGACTCGGGCTGCCGATTAGGCTTCCAGTCCACCCCGGACTCGGGCTGCCGATTAGGCTTCCAGTCCACCCCGGACTCGGGCTGCCGATTAGGCTTCCAGTCCACCCCGGACTCGGGCTGCCGATTAGGCTTCCAGTCCACCCCGGACTCGGGCTGCCGATTAGGCTTCCAGTCCACCCCGGACTCGGGCTGCCGATTAGGCTTCCAGTCCACCCCGGACTCGGGCTGCCGATTAGGCTTCCAGTCCACCCCGGACTCGGGCTGCCGATTAGGCTTCCAGTCCACCCCGGACTCGGGCTGCCGATTAGGCTTCCAGTCCACCCCGGACTCGGGCTGCCGATTAGGCTTCCAGTCCACCCCGGACTCGGGCTGCCGATTAGGCTTCCAGTCCACCCCGGACTCGGGCTGCCGATTAGGCTTCCAGTCCACCCCGGACTCGGGCTGCCGATTAGGCTTCCAGTCCACCCCGGACTCGGGCTGCCGATTAGGCTTCCAGTCCACCCCTGACTCGGGCTGCCGATTAGGCTTCCAGTCCACCCCGGACTCGGGCTGCCGATTAGGCTTCCAGTCCACCCCGGACTCGGGCTGCCGATTAGGCTTCCAGTCCACCCCGGACTCGGGCTGCCGATTAGGCTTCCAGTCCACCCCGGACTCGGGCTGCCGATTAGGCTTCCAGTCCACCCCGGACTCGGGCTGCCGATTAGGCTTCCAGTCCACCCCGGACTCGGGCTGCCGATTAGGCTTCCAGTCCACCCCGGACTCGGGCTGCCGATTAGGCTTCCAGTCCACCCCGGACTCGGGCTGCCGATTAGGCTTCCAGTCCACCCCGGACTCGGGCTGCCGATTAGGCTTCCAGTCCACCCCGGACTCGGGCTGCCGATTAGGCTTCCAGTCCACCCCGGACTCGGGCTGCCGATTAGGCTTCCAGTCCACCCCGGACTCGGGCTGCCGATTAGGCTTCCAGTCCACCCCGGACTCGGGCTGCCGATTAGGCTTCCAGTCCACCCCGGACTCGGGCTGCCGATTAGGCTTCCAGTCCACCCCTGACTCGGGCTGCCGATTAGGCTTCCAGTCCACCCCTGACTCGGGCTGCCGATTAGGCTTCCAGTCCACCCCCGACTCGGGCTGCCGATTAGGCTTCCAGTCCACCCCGGACTCGGGCTGCCGATTAGGCTTCCAGTCCACCCCGGACTCGGGCTGCCGATTAGGCTTCCAGTCCACCCCGGACTCGGGCTGCCGATTAGGCTTCCAGTCCACCCCTGACTCGGGCTGCCGATTAGGCTTCCAGTCCACCCCTGACTCGGGCTGCCGATTAGGCTTCCAGTCCACCCCTGACTCGGGCTGCCGATTAGGCTTCCAGTCCACCCCTGACTCGGGCTGCCGATTAGGCTTCCAGTCCACCCCGGACTCGGGCTGCCGATTAGGCTTCCAGTCCACCCCGGACTCGGGCTGCCGATTAGGCTTCCAGTCCACCCCTGACTCGGGCTGCCGATTAGGCTTCCAGTCCACCCCTGACTCGGGCTGCCGATTAGGCTTCCAGTCCACCCCGGACTCGGGCTGCCGATTAGGCTTCCAGTCCACCCCGGACTCGGGCTGCCGATTAGGCTTCCAGTCCACCCCGGACTCGGGCTGCCGATTAGGCTTCCAGTCCACCCCGGACTCGGGCTGCCGATTAGGCTTCCAGTCCACCCCGGACTCGGGCTGCCGATTAGGCTTCCAGTCCACCCCGGACTCGGGCTGCCGATTAGGCTTCCAGTCCACCCCGGACTCGGGCTGCCGATTAGGCTTCCAGTCCACCCCGGACTCGGGCTGCCGATTAGGCTTCCAGTCCACCCCGGACTCGGGCTGCCGATTAGGCTTCCAGTCCACCCCGGACTCGGGCTGCCGATTAGGCTTCCAGTCCACCCCGGACTCGGGCTGCCGATTAGGCTTCCAGTCCACCCCGGACTCGGGCTGCCGATTAGGCTTCCAGTCCACCCCGGACTCGGGCTGCCGATTAGGCTTCCAGTCCACCCCGGACTCGGGCTGCCGATTAGGCTTCCAGTCCACCCCGGACTCGGGCTGCCGATTAGGCTTCCAGTCCACCCCGGACTCGGGCTGCCGATTAGGCTTCCAGTCCACCCCGGACTCGGGCTGCCGATTAGGCTTCCAGTCCACCCCGGACTCGGGCTGCCGATTAGGCTTCCAGTCCACCCCTGACTCGGGCTGCCGATTAGGCTTCCAGTCCACCCCTGACTCGGGCTGCCGATTAGGCTTCCAGTCCACCCCGGACTCGGGCTGCCGATTAGGCTTCCAGTCCACCCCGGACTCGGGCTGCCGATTAGGCTTCCAGTCCACCCCTGACTCGGGCTGCCGATTAGGCTTCCAGTCCACCCCTGACTCGGGCTGCCGATTAGGCTTCCAGTCCACCCCTGACTCGGGCTGCCGATTAGGCTTCCAGTCCACCCCGGACTCGGGCTGCCGATTAGGCTTCCAGTCCACCCCGGACTCGGGCTGCCGATTAGGCTTCCAGTCCACCCCGGACTCGGGCTGCCGATTAGGCTTCCAGTCCACCCCTGACTCGGGCTGCCGATTAGGCTTCCAGTCCACCCCGGACTCGGGCTGCCGATTAGGCTTCCAGTCCACCCCGGACTCGGGCTGCCGATTAGGCTTCCAGTCCACCCCGGACTCGGGCTGCCGATTAGGCTTCCAGTCCACCCCGGACTCGGGCTGCCGATTAGGCTTCCAGTCCACCCCTGACTCGGGCTGCCGATTAGGCTTCCAGTCCACCCCTGACTCGGGCTGCCGATTAGGCTTCCAGTCCACCCCTGACTCGGGCTGCCGATTAGGCTTCCAGTCCACCCCTGACTCGGGCTGCCGATTAGGCTTCCAGTCCACCCCTGACTCGGGCTGCCGATTAGGCTTCCAGTCCACCCCTGACTCGGGCTGCCGATTAGGCTTCCAGTCCACCCCTGACTCGGGCTGCCGATTAGGCTTCCAGTCCACCCCTGACTCGGGCTGCCGATTAGGCTTCCAGTCCACCCCGGACTCGGGCTGCCGATTAGGCTTCCAGTCCACCCCTGACTCGGGCTGCCGATTAGGCTTCCAGTCCACCCCTGACTCGGGCTGCCGATTAGGCTTCCAGTCCACCCCGGACTCGGGCTGCCGATTAGGCTTCCAGTCCACCCCGGACTCGGGCTGCCGATTAGGCTTCCAGTCCACCCCTGACTCGGGCTGCCGATTAGGCTTCCAGTCCACCCCTGACTCGGGCTGCCGATTAGGCTTCCAGTCCACCCCTGACTCGGGCTGCCGATTAGGCTTCCAGTCCACCCCGGACTCGGGCTGCCGATTAGGCTTCCAGTCCACCCCTGACTCGGGCTGCCGATTAGGCTTCCAGTCCACCCCTGACTCGGGCTGCCGATTAGGCTTCCAGTCCACCCCTGACTCGGGCTGCCGATTAGGCTTCCAGTCCACCCCTGACTCGGGCTGCCGATTAGGCTTCCAGTCCACCCCTGACTCGGGCTGCCGATTAGGCTTCCAGTCCACCCCTGACTCGGGCTGCCGATTAGGCTTCCAGTCCACCCCTGACTCGGGCTGCCGATTAGGCTTCCAGTCCACCCCTGACTCGGGCTGCCGATTAGGCTTCCAGTCCACCCCTGACTCGGGCTGCCGATTAGGCTTCCAGTCCACCCCTGACTCGGGCTGCCGATTAGGCTTCCAGTCCACCCCTGACTCGGGCTGCCGATTAGGCTTCCAGTCCACCCCGGACTCGGGCTGCCGATTAGGCTTCCAGTCCACCCCGGACTCGGGCTGCCGATTAGGCTTCCAGTCCACCCCGGACTCGGGCTGCCGATTAGGCTTCCAGTCCACCCCTGACTCGGGCTGCCGATTAGGCTTCCAGTCCACCCCTGACTCGGGCTGCCGATTAGGCTTCCAGTCCACCCCTGACTCGGGCTGCCGATTAGGCTTCCAGTCCACCCCTGACTCGGGCTGCCGATTAGGCTTCCAGTCCACCCCTGACTCGGGCTGCCGATTAGGCTTCCAGTCCACCCCTGACTCGGGCTGCCGATTAGGCTTCCAGTCCACCCCTGACTCGGGCTGCCGATTAGGCTTCCAGTCCACCCCTGACTCGGGCTGCCGATTAGGCTTCCAGTCCACCCCTGACTCGGGCTGCCGATTAGGCTTCCAGTCCACCCCGGACTCGGGCTGCCGATTAGGCTTCCAGTCCACCCCGGACTCGGGCTGCCGATTAGGCTTCCAGTCCACCCCTGACTCGGGCTGCCGATTAGGCTTCCAGTCCACCCCTGACTCGGGCTGCCGATTAGGCTTCCAGTCCACCCCTGGACTCGGGCTGCCGATTAGGCTTCCAGTCCACCCCGGACTCGGGCTGCCGATTAGGCTTCCAGTCCACCCCGGACTCGGGCTGCCGATTAGGCTTCCAGTCCACCCCTGACTCGGGCTGCCGATTAGGCTTCCAGTCCACCCCTGACTCGGGCTGCCGATTAGGCTTCCAGTCCACCCCTGACTCGGGCTGCCGATTAGGCTTCCAGTCCACCCCGGACTCGGGCTGCCGATTAGGCTTCCAGTCCACCCCGGACTCGGGCTGCCGATTAGGCTTCCAGTCCACCCCTGACTCGGGCTGCCGATTAGGCTTCCAGTCCACCCCGGACTCGGGCTGCCGATTAGGCTTCCAGTCCACCCCTGACTCGGGCTGCCGATTAGGCTTCCAGTCCACCCCGGACTCGGGCTGCCGATTAGGCTTCCAGTCCACCCCTGACTCGGGCTGCCGATTAGGCTTCCAGTCCACCCCGGACTCGGGCTGCCGATTAGGCTTCCAGTCCACCCCTGACTCGGGCTGCCGATTAGGCTTCCAGTCCACCCCTGACTCGGGCTGCCGATTAGGCTTCCAGTCCACCCCGGACTCGGGCTGCCGATTAGGCTTCCAGTCCACCCCTGACTCGGGCTGCCGATTAGGCTTCCAGTCCACCCCTGACTCGGGCTGCCGATTAGGCTTCCAGTCCACCCCTGACTCGGGCTGCCGATTAGGCTTCCAGTCCACCCCTGACTCGGGCTGCCGATTAGGCTTCCAGTCCACCCCGGACTCGGGCTGCCGATTAGGCTTCCAGTCCACCCCTGACTCGGGCTGCCGATTAGGCTTCCAGTCCACCCCTGACTCGGGCTGCCGATTAGGCTTCCAGTCCACCCCGGACTCGGGCTGCCGATTAGGCTTCCAGTCCACCCCGGACTCGGGCTGCCGATTAGGCTTCCAGTCCACCCCTGACTCGGGCTGCCGATTAGGCTTCCAGTCCACCCCTGACTCGGGCTGCCGATTAGGCTTCCAGTCCACCCCTGACTCGGGCTGCCGATTAGGCTTCCAGTCCACCCCGGACTCGGGCTGCCGATTAGGCTTCCAGTCCACCCCGGACTCGGGCTGCCGATTAGGCTTCCAGTCCACCCCTGACTCGGGCTGCCGATTAGGCTTCCAGTCCACCCCTGACTCGGGCTGCCGATTAGGCTTCCAGTCCACCCCTGACTCGGGCTGCCGATTAGGCTTCCAGTCCACCCCTGACTCGGGCTGCCGATTAGGCTTCCAGTCCACCCCTGACTCGGGCTGCCGATTAGGCTTCCAGTCCACCCCTGACTCGGGCTGCCGATTAGGCTTCCAGTCCACCCCTGACTCGGGCTGCCGATTAGGCTTCCAGTCCACCCCTGACTCGGGCTGCCGATTAGGCTTCCAGTCCACCCCTGACTCGGGCTGCCGATTAGGCTTCCAGTCCACCCCTGACTCGGGCTGCCGATTAGGCTTCCAGTCCACCCCTGACTCGGGCTGCCGATTAGGCTTCCAGTCCACCCCTGACTCGGGCTGCCGATTAGGCTTCCAGTCCACCCCTGACTCGGGCTGCCGATTAGGCTTCCAGTCCACCCCTGACTCGGGCTGCCGATTAGGCTTCCAGTCCACCCCGGACTCGGGCTGCCGATTAGGCTTCCAGTCCACCCCTGACTCGGGCTGCCGATTAGGCTTCCAGTCCACCCCTGACTCGGGCTGCCGATTAGGCTTCCAGTCCACCCCTGACTCGGGCTGCCGATTAGGCTTCCAGTCCACCCCTGACTCGGGCTGCCGATTAGGCTTCCAGTCCACCCCTGACTCGGGCTGCCGATTAGGCTTCCAGTCCACCCCTGACTCGGGCTGCCGATTAGGCTTCCAGTCCACCCCTGACTCGGGCTGCCGATTAGGCTTCCAGTCCACCCCTGACTCGGGCTGCCGATTAGGCTTCCAGTCCACCCCTGACTCGGGCTGCCGATTAGGCTTCCAGTCCACCCCTGACTCGGGCTGCCGATTAGGCTTCCAGTCCACCCCTGACTCGGGCTGCCGATTAGGCTTCCAGTCCACCCCTGACTCGGGCTGCCGATTAGGCTTCCAGTCCACCCCTGACTCGGGCTGCCGATTAGGCTTCCAGTCCACCCCTGACTCGGGCTGCCGATTAGGCTTCCAGTCCACCCCTGACTCGGGCTGCCGATTAGGCTTCCAGTCCACCCCTGACTCGGGCTGCCGATTAGGCTTCCAGTCCACCCCGGACTCGGGCTGCCGATTAGGCTTCCAGTCCACCCCGGACTCGGGCTGCCGATTAGGCTTCCAGTCCACCCCGGACTCGGGCTGCCGATTAGGCTTCCAGTCCACCCCTGACTCGGGCTGCCGATTAGGCTTCCAGTCCACCCCTGACTCGGGCTGCCGATTAGGCTTCCAGTCCACCCCTGACTCGGGCTGCCGATTAGGCTTCCAGTCCACCCCGGACTCGGGCTGCCGATTAGGCTTCCAGTCCACCCCTGACTCGGGCTGCCGATTAGGCTTCCAGTCCACCCCTGACTCGGGCTGCCGATTAGGCTTCCAGTCCACCCCTGACTCGGGCTGCCGATTAGGCTTCCAGTCCACCCCTGACTCGGGCTGCCGATTAGGCTTCCAGTCCACCCCTGACTCGGGCTGCCGATTAGGCTTCCAGTCCACCCCTGACTCGGGCTGCCGATTAGGCTTCCAGTCCACCCCTGACTCGGGCTGCCGATTAGGCTTCCAGTCCACCCCTGACTCGGGCTGCCGATTAGGCTTCCAGTCCACCCCTGACTCGGGCTGCCGATTAGGCTTCCAGTCCACCCCTGACTCGGGCTGCCGATTAGGCTTCCAGTCCACCCCTGACTCGGGCTGCCGATTAGGCTTCCAGTCCACCCCTGACTCGGGCTGCCGATTAGGCTTCCAGTCCACCCCTGACTCGGGCTGCCGATTAGGCTTCCAGTCCACCCCGGACTCGGGCTGCCGATTAGGCTTCCAGTCCACCCCGGACTCGGGCTGCCGATTAGGCTTCCAGTCCACCCCGGACTCGGGCTGCCGATTAGGCTTCCAGTCCACCCCTGACTCGGGCTGCCGATTAGGCTTCCAGTCCACCCCGGACTCGGGCTGCCGATTAGGCTTCCAGTCCACCCCGGACTCGGGCTGCCGATTAGGCTTCCAGTCCACCCCGGACTCGGGCTGCCGATTAGGCTTCCAGTCCACCCCGGACTCGGGCTGCCGATTAGGCTTCCAGTCCACCCCGGACTCGGGCTGCCGATTAGGCTTCCAGTCCACCCCTGACTCGGGCTGCCGATTAGGCTTCCAGTCCACCCCTGACTCGGGCTGCCGATTAGGCTTCCAGTCCACCCCTGACTCGGGCTGCCGATTAGGCTTCCAGTCCACCCCTGACTCGGGCTGCCGATTAGGCTTCCAGTCCACCCCGGACTCGGGCTGCCGATTAGGCTTCCAGTCCACCCCGGACTCGGGCTGCCGATTAGGCTTCCAGTCCACCCCTGACTCGGGCTGCCGATTAGGCTTCCAGTCCACCCCTGACTCGGGCTGCCGATTAGGCTTCCAGTCCACCCCTGACTCGGGCTGCCGATTAGGCTTCCAGTCCACCCCGGACTCGGGCTGCCGATTAGGCTTCCAGTCCACCCCGGACTCGGGCTGCCGATTAGGCTTCCAGTCCACCCCTGACTCGGGCTGCCGATTAGGCTTCCAGTCCACCCCTGACTCGGGCTGCCGATTAGGCTTCCAGTCCACCCCTGACTCGGGCTGCCGATTAGGCTTCCAGTCCACCCCTGACTCGGGCTGCCGATTAGGCTTCCAGTCCACCCCTGACTCGGGCTGCCGATTAGGCTTCCAGTCCACCCCTGACTCGGGCTGCCGATTAGGCTTCCAGTCCACCCCTGACTCGGGCTGCCGATTAGGCTTCCAGTCCACCCCTGACTCGGGCTGCCGATTAGGCTTCCAGTCCACCCCTGACTCGGGCTGCCGATTAGGCTTCCAGTCCACCCCTGACTCGGGCTGCCGATTAGGCTTCCAGTCCACCCCGGACTCGGGCTGCCGATTAGGCTTCCAGTCCACCCCTGACTCGGGCTGCCGATTAGGCTTCCAGTCCACCCCTGAATCGGGCTGCCGATTAGGCTTCCAGTCCACCCCTGACTCGGGCTGCCGATTAGGCTTCCAGTCCACCCCTGACTCGGGCTGCCGATTAGGCTTCCAGTCCACCCCTGACTCGGGCTGCCGATTAGGCTTCCAGTCCACCCCTGACTCGGGCTGCCGATTAGGCTTCCAGTCCACCCCTGACTCGGGCTGCCGATTAGGCTTCCAGTCCACCCCGGACTCGGGCTGCCGATTAGGCTTCCAGTCCACCCCTGACTCGGGCTGCCGATTAGGCTTCCAGTCCACCCCGGACTCGGGCTGCCGATTAGGCTTCCAGTCCACCCCGGACTCGGGCTGCCGATTAGGCTTCCAGTCCACCCCTGACTCGGGCTGCCGATTAGGCTTCCAGTCCACCCCGGACTCGGGCTGCCGATTAGGCTTCCAGTCCACCCCTGACTCGGGCTGCCGATTAGGCTTCCAGTCCACCCCTGACTCGGGCTGCCGATTAGGCTTCCAGTCCACCCCTGACTCGGGCTGCCGATTAGGCTTCCAGTCCACCCCTGACTCGGGCTGCCGATTAGGCTTCCAGTCCACCCCTGACTCGGGCTGCCGATTAGGCTTCCAGTCCACCCCGGACTCGGGCTGCCGATTAGGCTTCCAGTCCACCCCGGACTCGGGCTGCCGATTAGGCTTCCAGTCCACCCCGGACTCGGGCTGCCGATTAGGCTTCCAGTCCACCCCGGACTCGGGCTGCCGATTAGGCTTCCAGTCCACCCCGGACTCGGGCTGCCGATTAGGCTTCCAGTCCACCCCGGACTCGGGCTGCCGATTAGGCTTCCAGTCCACCCCGGACTCGGGCTGCCGATTAGGCTTCCAGTCCACCCCTGACTCGGGCTGCCGATTAGGCTTCCAGTCCACCCCTGACTCGGGCTGCCGATTAGGCTTCCAGTCCACCCCGGACTCGGGCTGCCGATTAGGCTTCCAGTCCACCCCGGACTCGGGCTGCCGATTAGGCTTCCAGTCCACCCCTGACTCGGGCTGCCGATTAGGCTTCCAGTCCACCCCTGACTCGGGCTGCCGATTAGGCTTCCAGTCCACCCCTGACTCGGGCTGCCGATTAGGCTTCCAGTCCACCCCTGACTCGGGCTGCCGATTAGGCTTCCAGTCCACCCCGGACTCGGGCTGCCGATTAGGCTTCCAGTCCACCCCGGACTCGGGCTGCCGATTAGGCTTCCAGTCCACCCCGGACTCGGGCTGCCGATTAGGCTTCCAGTCCACCCCGGACTCGGGCTGCCGATTAGGCTTCCAGTCCACCCCTGACTCGGGCTGCCGATTAGGCTTCCAGTCCACCCCGGACTCGGGCTGCCGATTAGGCTTCCAGTCCACCCCGGACTCGGGCTGCCGATTAGGCTTCCAGTCCACCCCGGACTCGGGCTGCCGATTAGGCTTCCAGTCCACCCCGGACTCGGGCTGCCGATTAGGCTTCCAGTCCACCCCTGACTCGGGCTGCCGATTAGGCTTCCAGTCCACCCCGGACTCGGGCTGCCGATTAGGCTTCCAGTCCACCCCGGACTCGGGCTGCCGATTAGGCTTCCAGTCCACCCCTGACTCGGGCTGCCGATTAGGCTTCCAGTCCACCCCGGACTCGGGCTGCCGATTAGGCTTCCAGTCCACCCCTGACTCGGGCTGCCGATTAGGCTTCCAGTCCACCCCGGACTCGGGCTGCCGATTAGGCTTCCAGTCCACCCCTGACTCGGGCTGCCGATTAGGCTTCCAGTCCACCCCGGACTCGGGCTGCCGATTAGGCTTCCAGTCCACCCCGGACTCGGGCTGCCGATTAGGCTTCCAGTCCACCCCTGACTCGGGCTGCCGATTAGGCTTCCAGTCCACCCCGGACTCGGGCTGCCGATTAGGCTTCCAGTCCACCCCGGACTCGGGCTGCCGATTAGGCTTCCAGTCCACCCCTGACTCGGGCTGCCGATTAGGCTTCCAGTCCACCCCGGACTCGGGCTACCGATTAGGCTTCCAGTCCACCCCGGACTCGGGCTGCCGATTAGGCTTCCAGTCCACCCCTGACTCGGGCTGCCGATTAGGCTTCCAGTCCACCCCGGACTCGGGCTGCCGATTAGGCTTCCAGTCCACCCCGGACTCGGGCTGCCGATTAGGCTTCCAGTCCACCCCTGACTCGGGCTGCCGATTAGGCTTCCAGTCCACCCCTGACTCGGGCTGCCGATTAGGCTTCCAGTCCACCCCTGACTCGGGCTGCCGATTAGGCTTCCAGTCCACCCCGGACTCGGGCTGCCGATTAGGCTTCCAGTCCACCCCTGACTCGGGCTGCCGATTAGGCTTCCAGTCCACCCCTGACTCGGGCTGCCGATTAGGCTTCCAGTCCACCCCTGACTCGGGCTGCCGATTAGGCTTCCAGTCCACCCCTGACTCGGGCTGCCGATTAGGCTTCCAGTCCACCCCGGACTCGGGCTGCCGATTAGGCTTCCAGTCCACCCCTGACTCGGGCTGCCGATTAGGCTTCCAGTCCACCCCTGACTCGGGCTGCCGATTAGGCTTCCAGTCCACCCCGGACTCGGGCTGCCGATTAGGCTTCCAGTCCACCCCTGACTCGGGCTGCCGATTAGGCTTCCAGTCCACCCCTGACTCGGGCTGCCGATTAGGCTTCCAGTCCACCCCTGACTCGGGCTGCCGATTAGGCTTCCAGTCCACCCCTGACTCGGGCTGCCGATTAGGCTTCCAGTCCACCCCTGACTCGGGCTGCCGATTAGGCTTCCAGTCCACCCCTGACTCGGGCTGCCGATTAGGCTTCCAGTCCACCCCTGACTCGGGCTGCCGATTAGGCTTCCAGTCCACCCCTGACTCGGGCTGCCGATTAGGCTTCCAGTCCACCCCTGACTCGGGCTGCCGATTAGGCTTCCAGTCCACCCCTGACTCGGGCTGCCGATTAGGCTTCCAGTCCACCCCTGACTCGGGCTGCCGATTAGGCTTCCAGTCCACCCCTGACTCGGGCTGCCGATTAGGCTTCCAGTCCACCCCGGACTCGGGCTGCCGATTAGGCTTCCAGTCCACCCCTGACTCGGGCTGCCGATTAGGCTTCCAGTCCACCCCGGACTCGGGCTGCCGATTAGGCTTCCAGTCCACCCCGGACTCGGGCTGCCGATTAGGCTTCCAGTCCACCCCGGACTCGGGCTGCCGATTAGGCTTCCAGTCCACCCCGGACTCGGGCTGCCGATTAGGCTTCCAGTCCACCCCGGACTCGGGCTGCCGATTAGGCTTCCAGTCCACCCCGGACTCGGGCTGCCGATTAGGCTTCCAGTCCACCCCTGACTCGGGCTGCCGATTAGGCTTCCAGTCCACCCCTGACTCGGGCTGCCGATTAGGCTTCCAGTCCACCCCGGACTCGGGCTGCCGATTAGGCTTCCAGTCCACCCCGGACTCGGGCTGCCGATTAGGCTTCCAGTCCACCCCTGACTCGGGCTGCCGATTAGGCTTCCAGTCCACCCCTGACTCGGGCTGCCGATTAGGCTTCCAGTCCACCCCTGACTCGGGCTGCCGATTAGGCTTCCAGTCCACCCCTGACTCGGGCTGCCGATTAGGCTTCCAGTCCACCCCTGACTCGGGCTGCCGATTAGGCTTCCAGTCCACACCGGACTCGGGCTGCCGATTAGGCTTCCAGTCCACCCCTGACTCGGGCTGCCGATTAGGCTTCCAGTCCACCCCTGACTCGGGCTGCCGATTAGGCTTCCAGTCCACCCCTGACTCGGGCTGCCGATTAGGCTTCCAGTCCACCCCTGACTCGGGCTGCCGATTAGGCTTCCAGTCCACCCCGGACTCGGGCTGCCGATTAGGCTTCCAGTCCACCCCGGACTCGGGCTGCCGATTAGGCTTCCAGTCCACCCCGGACTCGGGCTGCCGATTAGGCTTCCAGTCCACCCCGGACTCGGGCTGCCGATTAGGCTTCCAGTCCACCCCTGACTCGGGCTGCCGATTAGGCTTCCAGTCCACCCCGGACTCGGGCTGCCGATTAGGCTTCCAGTCCACCCCGGACTCGGGCTGCCGATTAGGCTTCCAGTCCACCCCGGACTCGGGCTGCCGATTAGGCTTCCAGTCCACCCCTGACTCGGGCTGCCGATTAGGCTTCCAGTCCACCCCTGACTCGGGCTGCCGATTAGGCTTCCAGTCCACCCCTGACTCGGGCTGCCGATTAGGCTTCCAGTCCACCCCTGACTCGGGCTGCCGATTAGGCTTCCAGTCCACCCCTGACTCGGGCTGCCGATTAGGCTTCCAGTCCACCCCTGACTCGGGCTGCCGATTAGGCTTCCAGTCCACCCCTGACTCGGGCTGCCGATTAGGCTTCCAGTCCACCCCTGACTCGGGCTGCCGATTAGGCTTCCAGTCCACCCCTGACTCGGGCTGCCGATTAGGCTTCCAGTCCACCCCTGACTCGGGCTGCCGATTAGGCTTCCAGTCCACCCCTGACTCGGGCTGCCGATTAGGCTTCCAGTCCACCCCTGAATCGGGCTGCCGATTAGGCTTCCAGTCCACCCCTGACTCGGGCTGCCGATTAGGCTTCCAGTCCACCCCGGACTCGGGCTGCCGATTAGGCTTCCAGTCCACCCCGGACTCGGGCTGCCGATTAGGCTTCCAGTCCACCCCTGACTCGGGCTGCCGATTAGGCTTCCAGTCCACCCCGGACTCGGGCTGCCAATTAGGCTTCCAGTCCACCCCGGACTCGGGCTGCCGATTAGGCTTCCAGTCCACCCCGGACTCGGGCTGCCGATTAGGCTTCCAGTCCACCCCTGACTCGGGCTGCCGATTAGGCTTCCAGTCCACCCCTGACTCGGGCTGCCGATTAGGCTTCCAGTCCACCCCTGACTCGGGCTGCCGATTAGGCTTCCAGTCCACCCCTGACTCGGGCTGCCGATTAGGCTTCCAGTCCACCCCTGACTCGGGCTGCCGATTAGGCTTCCAGTCCACCCCTGACTCGGGCTGCCGATTAGGCTTCCAGTCCACCCCTGACTCGGGCTGCCGATTAGGCTTCCAGTCCACCCCTGACTCGGGCTGCCGATTAGGCTTCCAGTCCACCCCTGACTCGGGCTGCCGATTAGGCTTCCAGTCCACCCCTGACTCGGGCTGCCGATTAGGCTTCCAGTCCACCCCTGACTCGGGCTGCCGATTAGGCTTCCAGTCCACCCCTGACTCGGGCTGCCGATTAGGCTTCCAGTCCACCCCTGACTCGGGCTGCCGATTAGGCTTCCAGTCCACCCCTGACTCGGGCTGCCGATTAGGCTTCCAGTCCACCCCTGACTCGGGCTGCCGATTAGGCTTCCAGTCCACCCCTGACTCGGGCTGCCGATTAGGCTTCCAGTCCACCCCTGACTCGGGCTGCCGATTAGGCTTCCAGTCCACCCCTGACTCGGGCTGCCGATTAGGCTTCCAGTCTACTCTGTTGAATCGCTGTGGCCAACGCCTTTGCGTTCACATCCTCGCTCTCTCCTCTGCTTGCATTTGGCCTCGTGACTCCCAGTCAGCGCTCTTAGATCGCCCCGGTCATGGCTCTCGTAACTGCCTGCCTGACCTCCCCCACCCCCGACGCCTCGCAACCCTTGATTTCGACCTTCCTCTCGTGCCTGCAAGCTTATCCTACCCCCCTGTTCGTTTGTCCAGCTTCCCTGCCCTGTCTTTGATGTCGCTAAACGCCTCGGCTATTGACGTAACTCACACCCACTCCCCCAGATGCCCCCCCCCCTCTTCCCCTCCCAGGCTCGTGCCCCTGGCCAATACGACGCCGCCCCTATCCCTTCCCCTAGGTCGGCCTCCTCCCCTAGTTGTGGCTCACCGTGGCTGTCGCACCTCCTACCCTCCCCGCTCCACCCTGTCCTTACACCGCCCCTCAATCCCCCTGGTTCACCCTTCCCCCCTTATGCTTCTCTGGTTTCACCCTGGGCCCTCAGGCGGTCCTGACATCCCGCTGCTCTACCCTCCGCCCTTTCTGTCTTTTGAGGCGCCTTCACAATGCCCCTCAGACACCCCTGTTACCTTGCCGCTCTACCTTCCACCCCTTATATACCCCCACTTGTGGTGCTCCCTGGCCCCCCTCTCCCTATGTGTGCCTGGCAGAAGCCTTTGCTATATGTGCTTCCAAGCAATGCTGCCTCAGTCAGAGAACTACCCCCCTCTGCCTGCACCCCCTGCAGCTTTCGCTGCCCCTTGGTTGCGTGCCCCACGATATTGTGCATCAGATCGCGTCAAGCCGCTTCCATGTGTCAAATGCTTCACTTGCTATCGTTTACTAAGTCTTGTCTTGGTCTATACGCTCAGCTGCGACACCTGTCCAAACTTTAGCTGGAAAAAGGGTTACTGTTACTATATTGGACACTACCGTCAATGCAAACTAACAAAAGAGCATAACAATGATAGCGTGTCATTGCACACCTTTGTCGTAAGAATGATAAAGGATCGTACACTTTCTTATTACCTGATCTACATACAAACCCCCATAGTCCACCAGTCAATCACTTTTCTGCACTTAGCTGTATCAGCGCACCTCATGTCAGCCTTGCGGAAAAAAACGGCACGCACATATACTTCACGCACCCCAAACTCCAAAGCATTGCTTCGACATCTCTTTGACTTCAAGTACCTACCGGTACGCCTCCTGAACACGCAGACATGCAACCCAATGTCGCCTCGGCGCCACCAACCCCACCAAGCCTGGCACGCCCCCGGCCTCACCTTCACCCCTTGTACTCACCTGCGACAACTTGTGCCTAGGCCGTGGATACGCACGATCTCCCGTGCGGTGGCCTTCACGTCGTCGCCATGTTAACACACCTCCGCATCCTATGCATCAACGTGAACGGAATCAACGAGACACGCAAAATGGATGAACTCAAGTCTTGGCTGGCGAGCCTTCCTGCACCCGCTGACTTGGTCATCCTCATTGACACCCGGCCCATCCACAGAATCCCCAACCTCGACCTAAAACTTCGACCTCACTCCTCCGCTCACGCCCCAGCACTTCTCTCTACCGAGAGCGCCACAGGGAGGCCCACGCTCATCGGCGGTGTCTCTATCCTCTCTTTCAACAGGGCTATCTCACTGTCCTCTCCAACCCCCTCCGCAGACGGCAGACTAATCACTATACACCTCAACTATCTGCGTGAGCAAATCCGCCTCATCGCCATTTACGCCCCCACACAATTCTACGGACGCAGAGTATGGTGGACCACCACACTCGTCCCGGCACTGGAAGCCCCCACCGCCGCCTCCGCATCCATGCTAGCAGGAGACTTCAACTCGGTCGTCCTCCCCATCGATAGGAATCGCCCTCCCAAAGACTTCGAGGCTCGTGAGGGCGCCTCATTCGCCAAACTCATGGAAAACCACGCCCTAATCGACACCTTCCGCGAACTCTTCTCCACGCCGACCAACGTCTTCTCCTTCTTCGGGAGGCAACGTCTCAATACTGCGACACCCCCCACCTCCTCCCGACTCGACAGAATATACATCTCTCGAGCTTTTATACCCCGCCTCACTGCAAGTCCGTACATCCAGTCCCGCACGGCAATCACGGACCACCTCTACGCCCCTCTCTGCTCGCTCAGCTTCATCAACCCCACAGTTGCCCCCCGCCCCTGGCGCCTCCGACAGCATCTACTTATGCGCCCTCATGTCTCTCAAATCATCGACTCCTTGTCAAACATTGTATATGTTTGTGTTCTGTAGGCCGTAGTGGGTTTAGCCTTAGGGGGTACAATCTCTAGGGTTTCACACTTGTACTCCCAACTTTCCTAGTTCAATCACTTCACTCATTCTGACATGGTATTACGAGCCTAGGGTTAGGAACCTAGGACCGTTCTTAGGGCCCACCGTTTCCGCTCGAAGCGCCCTCGTGCGCCGTCCTTTCCTAGCGCCCTCGTGCGCCTCGCTCCTAGTGCGCCCTCGCGCGCCTCCTCTCCTCTTACGCTGCCCGTGCGCAGCCGCTAGCAACCCGCGCGCGCGGCCCGTTTTCCCGTCGCGTAGCCCGCTAGCCGCCCGTGCGCGGCCCGTTTCTTGAGCGCGCGGCCCGCTAGCCGCTCGCGCCGTCGTCGCCGCCCACGCGCAGCCCTCTCTGGCCTCGCGCGACTCCTAGTGCGGCCCGCTAGCCGCCCGTCGACCGCCGCCGCGTCCCCTTAGGCCGCCGCCCGCTCGATTGCAGCCGCCTTCGTCGCGCCTCCGTTACGGACCCCTGTCCCGACCCACCCTCCCGCCGGCCCTGCTACAGCAATCGCGCTTGCTGATACCGCGGATGCAGCCTCCGTGAGCGCTCCTGCTGTGGGGGGAGGTTGTGGGAGTGGCGGACAGTGGAGGAAAGGTGGAGGTAGTGGCGGACGGTGGGGGAGGTGGCGTGACGGGGTGGCCACTGTGAGCCGCCAGCAGCGCCTGCCGTCCCCTTTACCGCCCCATACGCGACTGTCGCTGTGGGGGGGAGGGTGATGGCGTGGCGGGAGTGTACCCGCAGGAACCAGCCACCGCCCTCCTCTCTCCTCTCTCTCCCTGCAGCGTCTGTCGCTGCGGGGGAAGGGGCGGGGGTGTGAGGGGGTGGCGAGAGAGATTGTGCCGCATTTGCAATTGCCCCTCCTCTCTCTCTCACTGCCGCGCGTGCCGCTGTGGGGGGGAGGGTGAGGGGGTGGCGGAAGTCAGCCAGGCATCTGCAACTGCCGCCCGCTGCTACCGTGGCACCTCAAGCTGCCGCCCCTGCCGCCACCTCCTCCTGCTACTGCTGCCTGCTGCTGTTGAGCAGCAGGTGCTTCCGTTGAGCCCTGCTGTGCCGCAGCACGTTGCCGCCGCACGCACCCGCTCTCTAGGCGACCTGCCGCCACATGCACCCATTACTGCTGTTCCGGACTTGGCTGAGGGTTGCTACAGCTGTATCTGCCACTACTGCACCGGCTGCCATTGCTCTTGCCAGCTGCTGCTTCTTCCGCTGCCTGGTGTACCCCTTCAGGGGGTGTGACTTATGATAGCAATGTGCTGCAGGCAGTTAGGGGGTGTGTCGTGATGTATATATTTTATATTGTAGCTGTAGCTGTAGTTTTTTGTTGCACCTATTGTTGGTGGTGCACCATTTGTTCTTGCCTTGTTCTCTATTTGTACCCTTCACTCAATAGTGAAACCTCACTTTTGGCCTTCTCTCTCGACTCTCGTTCCGACTCTCGCCATGCCTAGGGTTCCTACTTTCTTAGCCTAAAAATGAAAAAAAAAAACTAGTAAAAATGAAATATAAAATAACTACATAGTCTGATAAAAAACATATTTGGTGATGTACATGTTCACGAACTGAGCTATTTATCGGGTCGACTCATGAAGCGGTATTTTACTGTATCGCGCAAATAGTCACCAGACTGTTCGCGCGACTGCCTGTAACTCATGCGAAGAAACTCATGCTACAGTAATACACACATATAATACCTTTTCGATACTACTGCAATGAACGAACTATTGAATTGTATAAGTCATTTATTATACTTCAAGACTCCCTTTCATTCTGAAGTTCGATGTTGTCGACGTTATCAATGACGTGGCCGAGTCCAGTCAACAGCAAGCAGTACTGGAACTTCGGTTGAGGCAGGCGCTTGGTCAAGCCGAGTCCGCAACCATATCGCTAGTAGGGTAGTAGGCGAGTTGTAACTTGCCTTGCTCGATTTCGTCGTTGACGAAGAAGTAGCGTAGCGAGATGTGTTTGATTCGATTGGCGAAACCTGACTTGTTCGCGATTCGGAGGATTTGTTGCAGAAGAGTGAAAACTGCGACACATCCAGTAGCTTCGCTTCATTGAGTAACTCGCGAAGGTAAAGTCCTCCATTCGTTGCAGTGCAGGCAGCAATAAATTCTGCCTCAGCTGATCAAAGTGCAATCAGCTCTTGCTTGCACGACTGCCAGGAGATTGTGCGAACAGGCTCCAAACGGTAGATAAATCCCGTTCATCAACGCATATTTGCAGTATCACCATGATTTGCATCTACATAGCCAAGAACTGACAACGGTGCCTTAGGCGACTTATAATAAGTTAGCCCAATTGTAGGTGTAGATACGAAGTAAGCGACTGCTGTTTCGAGCTCCCGTAGAATCTCCCCTTCAGGTCGGTTAAGGTATCAAGCGAGCTGGCTAGCAGAAAACGATAAGTCGGGGCGGCAGGTGACGGTCGCGAACAAGAGACTACCGAGTAACTGCTGATAGCGTGTTATTCTAGCTGCTGATAAGACCTCCTTGTTGACCAGACAGTTAGAACGATAAAGAGAGGCCATAGTTGTTGGCAGAGAAAAGCGCGTGAGGAGCTTTTCGGCATATTTTTATGCTGAGAGATGAATGGAGGCCGTTGTCTAGGTGATGTTGAGACCGAGGTGTTGCGTCACTTTAGTAGTGATCGTCAATGTGAGATCCGTCCGCAGCTCCCCTTCAAAGTGTATTAAAAACGTCTCGGTGCTCCCGATGTAGAGTAAGTCGTCGACGTAGACGACTAGTAGGATCAAGACGGTACATTCCTTGATCGTGAGGTAGCTGTCGAAAGCCGATTTTGATCAAGCGCTCGTATAGATGCTGTCAGAGGTCCACTGGTGATCCCCGATTGATCCTAGGGAAGGGTTACAGGCATGTTGGCCTGGGGGGTTATGGGCGCACTGACCCGCTACTTAACAAGCCCTTTTATCCCAATGGTCTAGTGGTTGGGATTCTGACAGATGCTGATCCCAGAGGCGTGGCGATTGTTTACTCCCGTACAGTGACTTGTTTAGTCGACAGACATTAGAAGGATCCGTGACGCACCCATGTGGCTGCTCGACTAGAATTAGCGTGTCGACGCGAGCGTAAAGAAAAGCTGTCGCCACGTCGATCGCAGTCGCATATGGTCGAGCAGATCCTCACGCGGTTTCGCTTCCCGTTCTCCAAGGTACAGCCCACCCCTCTTGCTGTGGATCATGGGCTCACGGCTCCACCTTCGGACGAGCCATTTGAGTCCAGTGGTCCATATCCTGAGCTGGTGGGTTGTCGCATGTACCTAATGACCTGTACTCGCCTTGACCTAGCTTACCCTCTTAGAGTCCTTGCGCGCACCTGGGAGACACCGACCTTCCCACTGGTACGCTGCTAAGAGGGTGGCGAAGTATGTGGCGAGTACATCATGCATGGGACTTGTCCTTGGAGGGAAGCAGCCAGTTACACTTACAGGTTTCTCGGACTCGTCGTGGGCCGACGACGCAGAGTCGCTGCGGTCTACACATGGTCACTGCTTCAGCCTTGGGACCGGAGCTGTTTCGTGGAGGTCGACTCGGGCGTCGTCCGTCTCTAGTTCCAGATGTGAGGCAGAGGTGTACGCTGCGGCCATGGCCGCCTAGGAGCTCCGCTGGCTGTCTTTCCTCCTCACCGACCTTGGTGAGAGGCCTCGCTCTACCCCAGTCTTGTTCGCTGACAACAGGTTGTCAGAATGTTGTATTTGTCTAGCCTGCAGTGGGGTACTCTATAGCGAGTACAGCCCAATTTAGGGTTTCCTATATGTACTCAATTGCTTGCTA